GCTGTTTTCCCATCTTATGTTCCCCACAATCATTTTCTGTCTGTACCGGGGGCTGACAGCACCATTATTCAGAAGTCCATGGTGGAGAACACTGTTCTCTGTTGGGCTGGTGTGTTCCTGGTCTGCAGAGACATAGTTGTCACAAACTTTCTCCTCAAGGCAATTTCACTTTTCGTGTGGAATCTGTCTGTATATGGAGAATTCTGATCAGTGTGTTGTATTACTTAGAATAATGCACAGATTTGTTTGGTGCTCACTAGCTCTTGTAGCTCTCCCAAACAGCTTACAATATATGGACAATGTACAATTAACAAATAAGGTACTTACTGAAAGTGAGAACAAGCAGGGTCAGTCAGTGCTGAAGCATGTCACGCATTTTGTGTCTATTCAGGGGTTTTATTCAGACTCCATTGAAGGACAGAAGTGTTTTAATTGTATATATCAAGACTCATTTGCGTTGCAGAACAACAAGGAAAGGGCCTCTTTGGAAGACTTGTTATTCCTAATGGCGCACTGAAGTAACGTTCTGTCAGTATCACCACGAGTAGACTGTCAACTAATTAGCTTAGAAAACTCCTTTTGATTTAGTTGCAGTACCATCTAATGATGAAATAGTATTCAGTTATGGTTTTGATGAACATCATCTTTAGCATCAAAGAATCCTCCACGCAGGTAGATGAAACTGCCAAGAAGACCCCAACAGGGTCTCTGTACATACATCCACTATAACAAAGGAATTAGGTTTTTTCCTGTTTTATTCTTCAATCTAGTACTTAAATATGCATCAATACAGCAACCTGAGGGTAATGATAATAGAATTATGCAGTTTGAATGAACTGAAATATTGTATCATGTTTACCACTATACATATTGTACATCGAATTCATTCAAGCCTGTTGTTTCCTTGCATTTAGATATTTTTAATAAACAGATGAGAAACAGTGGCTACACTTTGAAGTAGATGAAGCACTGGTTGATTTCTATTCAGCAAATTTTAAGCCCATGCTTTGATGTTAGCTTTTCATTTCTTAACTGGGACTGGAAAAAAAGACCTAGAGGATTTTACAGTTGAACATAACCAAACTGTCTTGAATAAGTGCATTAGAACAGATAGAGATAAAAGGCACTAAACATTTTATTTCTTAAAAAAAAACTCCATCTGAAAAGATTTCATTTAGACACTGCTTTTTAATAGTTGGTAGTTTTTCAGTGAGCCTTTAAAAGCAATGTCAGTGTAGTTTGAGTAAAGTACATTTGTTTTTACCCTATTGGCCATATTTTTTAACTCTTCCAATGGTATGGAAGGTCAAGTCTGTACATCTCTTCCACCATAATTCTCTCAAGTTTATACTTCTGATCTGCTGGGACTGATACTTTTCAGTCTCTCTAAGACAAGCTGCACAATGAGACCGAGTGCGCCCTGACCAAATCTGCAGATAATACTAAAAATGAAGGATGGTGCTGAGACACTGAAGGTTGGAGCCTCAGTTCCAAAGGACTTGAAGATTTGGCCAACAGACACTTTAGTAATTCAACAAGGAAAAATGCAAAGTTCTGTGCCTGAGGTGGACTAACCCCATGTGTCAGTACAAGCTGTGACATCCTGGGACATCCAAGCTGATTAAAGATGTAGGACACAGGAGCTGCAAGGGGAAGTTAAGAGAACCGGCCTTGTTCGGTGTGGTAGAGATGAGGAGGAGGGGTAAGGAAGATCTATTTGCAGCCTGCACCTATTTCAAAGATGGTTGGAAAATCAGGGGCACCGAATTCTCCTCATTCTTCTCAGTGGTAGTGGATGGCAAAACCAGGGGCAATGGCCAAGAAGTTGCAGCATGGAAGGTTTGTGCTGGACAAACTCCTTCAGGAGGAGGGTAGTGCCGTGCTGGAGCAGGTTACCCAGAAAAGTTGTGGAATCTTCATTCTTGGAGGTCATCAGGGCTCAGCTAGACAGATCGAGTGTTGGCCACAGACCCACTCTTGAGTGGGAGGTTGGACTGGAGACCTCCAGAAGTCCCTTCTGACCATCTTTTCTATTTGCTGATGAACATCTCATACCTGCTCCTGAAATAAAATTTAGAAATTTATTTGTTTGGAAATTATTGAGGAGTAGGGAGATAATGCTAAGGAAATTGAAGCCAAATTTACACTCTGATTCTGAAGACCACTTCCTAGATACGCTTTACGTTGTGTGCGTGAGCAGTTCCTTTGGAGCAGTTCCTTTACAGCACAACCGTTAACTCAGATGAATTACTCAGGCAGTAACATACAGCAGCACCATCAGTACTTCTAGCATTTTGCAACATCCTAGGGTTTGTTAGCAATGTACACCATTTTCTGTTTGTTTCAGCTGAAAGAAAACGTAAAAACCACAGTCTTTCCAAGCTGAGCGTATGCTTTTATGATTCATGCAGTTGTGTTGCTATTCTGGGTTTAGAAACCAGCAGGGAAGTTACGGACATGAAAATCATTCTTTTGTAGGTATAATAAGCAATCTCGTTATAAAAGTACCCTATATGCAAAATGTTTTCTAAGTAGCTGAGTGTTGCCAACAACAGAGAAAAATGCAGTCAGCGTGACAGACAGCATTTTCAAAACTAATGCACAGGACACACAGGCCGTACCCTGATCTGCACAGCAACAACGCTGGTTTGGAGGGGCAGTTCATTTTTTGTAAATGGCTTGAAAATCAAGGCTGTGTACAGCATGAAGGATGGCGAGGGGCGCGGGGGGGAGTACTTGTACTCGTGTCAGTCCTCAGCTTGCATACTCATGGCATTGCTTTTTTGTATGGGATCTTTGTTTCTTGTGGGACTGCGGGCAGTTGTTACGAGCGACACAAAAGTGTTTGGGACGTGGATACCCCACCAACGCACAGCTATTTACAGAGTTGGAGGCTTTGCTTAGAGTAGCAAAAAGATGTGTTAACTAACACACTCTAAAATCCCCAGAGTACAGAAACCAAATTGTATTTGAATGTGTTTGCTAGACTGTCTTAAAATGCAAATTACTTTGTCAGTTCCTGGATTCAATATGTTTTAAAACTGATTTTTAGGATAGAAGGTCATTTCTGTTGCAAGGGTGTCATCTCCTCAGTCTACACCAGTGCTGCATATGCTTTTCATCTTCTCCCTTGCCTGCCTTTTTGTGCTGCAGTTTCCGAGGGAGGTGAGCGTGGATATTCCTCTGAGCCGATGCCCGGTCTCCACAGACCCCCAGCCTGAGCTGTCAGAGCCTCAGGACTCCAAGATACACCAGCCCACTCCCGCCATGTAGCACTGGCACGGCCAAAATTTCTCAACCATTGAAAATCCCGGACTCTTAATTTGCATACTAGCAATAAATTAGGAAGTTTATATTACTTCATTATGCAAAGAGAATTAGACCTTTTATATGCAAACCAGCTCGAGACAGGAAATACATCTTTAAGACGAAAAACTGTAAACCACCAGTTATTAATATCACTGACATTTAGTCCAGCCTAGACATGATATGTCATAATTTTGCTGTTTGCTTATGAAATATGTATGATGGCCTCCGGTCTGTGGATTTCTAATGAGAATAAAATACTGGCAGCTACATTTTTAGAGGGGGAAGGGGAAATACAAGCACTAAGAAAATCAAACTTAGCATACACACCTCTCATATCCAGACTGCTCCAGAAAGTCACATGGGAAATTACTTACACGATCGGCTTCTCATTCATACCTGTCTCACCATATCCATCTCCGTGTAGACTGTGGCAGATCACTTGAAGGGTGAGCATGTGGAGGGCAATAAAGGCAGCCCCTATGATTGGAGGTGCAAAAAGGTTTCGTACTATTCAGCTGTTTCTTTCAGACCAATGATGGAGGCAAATGATAAGGAAAGTTAAGCTGAAGCTGTAGTTCCTTCAATTCAACAGCAAAACTCCTGTGGAGAGCAGTGGGAAAAAAAATGTCATCTGTGCTATATGTTCACAGCCTTGCTGCTGACCTGTTCTGGGATCATGGCATGCATCTTAAGGCCATAGCTTTCACAGCAACCTAGTGCTTAAATATAGAAATGAACACCTATCTTGTTGCCAAAAGCTTCCATCCAATCTAGGGCTAAATTACTCAATTTTGTTGTAAGGCTTTGAAACCAGTTGATACGTAACCTTTGCGCTTGCTCTCCTGCTGCGCGGCGCTCTCCAGTCTGGACGATTGCGTTGGTCGGGAGTGGGTGCTTTTCAGCAAAGCTCAGGCTTTTGAAGTTACATTCTTCTGATGTCGCTTGTCCAATTCCTTTCACATTCCAGCTTGTTTTTCCTTTTTCAACCCTTGTCTTTTCAACAGAGAGGTGCTCATGAGATTCAAGAGATTCGGCAGTTTCACTTCACTGGCTGGCCAGACCACGGCGTGCCGTACCACGCGACAGGCCTGCTGGGATTCGTGCGGCAGGTCAAATCCAAGAGCCCACCAAACGCTGGCCCTCTGGTTGTTCACTGCAGGTAGATACAGAACAGAAATCCCTCCGTTGAGTTGTCCACTAAACTCAGGACCTACTTTGCTTCTCCTGTACTGTATAATCCCCACACAGGTTGCTGAAGCCACTGGAGCTCTGCCCACAGTAACTTAATACCTAAAATATATACAAGAATGGAAAAATTGAGTCTGAAATTCTGCAAATGGCTGAACGCAAGGCTCAATTGCAGTAATCATCCCACTGATCAAGCACCTGCGAGATGAACCCTTGCATTTTACATTTTCCAATACATGGCTGAACATTAACTGTGCTCTTCTTTTACTTTAGTGCTGGTGCTGGCAGAACTGGATGCTTCATTGTTATTGACATCATGCTAGATATGGCAGAAAGAGAAGGCGTTGTAGACATATACAATTGTGTGAGAGAGCTTCGATCTCGGCGAGTTAACATGGTGCAGACCGAGGTATTGTTAATCTACTGGAATACGGCCTTATGCTTTGCAAGAAAAGAATATTCCTCTAGCCCTTAAGACTAGAGCGCCTTTGTGGTTGGCACCATCCAGAAGGTCATTTATCCAGTCATATGCAGAAAATAATCCACTCGCAAACCTGAAGGATCGCTGCCCAAACAAGTGCACAGTTATGCTGCATTTAAGGTTCACAATGGTTTTTTAAAAAAAGGAAAATCATGAGTGTTTCCCCTCCGGGGAGGATTCCTTCTGGAGTACCTCTTGTTGAGGCTCAGTTACGTGACAGCACCTACAGACCTGTGCAGAGGAATGCGGAGGCCAGAAACATTCTGAGCTTTGCTATGGAGCGTTGCTGCACTTGTGTTTGTACTTGTCACTAGTTTGAGTCAATCCTTCTATATTAATTTCTAAATGAGTGGGATAAAGTTTTATGAACTGCTGTTGTTCCTTCAGGTCTTGCTTCAGTGCTGGTAAGGTCAGAGAGAATTAGCGGCAACCACATTAGCTGTTATTTTTTATTTAGCAAAACACTAATAGGGTATGCTGTCTGTGTCAGTAATTTTAATTGCTTTACCAGGAACAGTACGTATTCATCCATGATGCTATCCTGGAAGCCTGTCTTTGTGGGGACACATCTATTCCAGCTTCTCAAGTTAGGTCGGTTTACTATGAAATGAATAAACTGGATCCTCAAACTAACTCCAGCCAGATCAAAGAGGAATTTAGGGTAAGTTGTGGCTAGCATTACCTAGAAGCTATACAATTCAGCTAAACTAAAGACTTCTGCTTAAGTGCTTGCTTATAACCATGTGAATTTTGGACCAGGCTTGGGAGGGAAAGACTGCAAAAAAGGGAACATAACGTGTCACTAATTGCTACTGAATTATGCTAAATCTTAAAAGAATGCAATGGGGTAGTAGTAAAATCTTTTTACTCACGGGAAGTATGTTGATTCTTTCCGCTACCCTTCCTCTGGAAGGCAGGTTACCTTGCAGCTGTCTTTGAGGTTAGTTTTCTGATCTGTATGCTTCCAGGATTTTTTTCCTTCCAAACCCTGCTGACTGCGATGTGTTTTCATTTCTCTGCATATTGATTTGCACTGAAACTGAATGCTGAGCTGATCTATTCTTAAATATTTTGGGATGCTTTCACTGCTGTGTTAATTTTTCTGTTGTATTGTTTACTCTTTTTGAAAGACTTTAAATATGGTGACTCCGACACTGCGTGTAGAAGACTGCAGCATAGCACTTCTACCACGAAATCATGAAAAGAATCGCTGTATGGATGTTCTGCCTCCAGACAGATGCCTGCCTTTCCTCATAACGATAGATGGGGAGAGCAGTAACTACATTAATGCTGCACTGATGGATGTAAGTCTCCACTACATCGTTAATAATAAAAAGGGAATAAGCAGCCCTCCAAACTGCTCGATGCCAGAAAGTGGAGTCAGCATGAGATGACTGAAACCCCTCTGGCTTGTTTTCCAAAAACATGGCACAAAATCTTTAAATTCCCAAGTACATTTAGGATCACACATATGTTATGTCACAGCCAGGGTTCCAAAGCCATGCTCAGAAAGCAAGTCAGGGAGTTTTAATAAATTAAATGTGTCTGGATTTCTCCCTAGTGCTTGAATTTTTAACCATGTGGCCTAGGACAAAAAGAGTTACCTATTAAGACACTAAGGCAGTTAAATAGGATAATAAGGTTTGCAGTGGTATTTCAGTTCCCTTTGTTTCTAATTTAAACAGTAATTGACAAAAAAAAAATATTGTCTGTCAGCACAAGATAGTACACAAGCCATTACTTCAGTCTTTCCGTTTATTTCTGTTTGAATGAATGGTTCCTCTTCGTGTGTGTGCGTGGGTTTTTTTTTCTAATGCAGCTATGGTAATTCTAAGCCTCCTAATAGAATATCAGTACAAAGACACTTAAACCACCTTTACAGTCTGTAGATATTTATAGCCGATCTTTGACAATTTAGAGCTATAGTAATTACGGTTGTCAAACACATAAACAAGAAGAAAACAGAGGTTAGTAAAGAATGAACACATTGTAAATGGCCTTTTTGAAAAGTGAAGCTAGAGTAATAACAGTTTATAGCAGTTTTTGCATTTCTTTCCTTCCAAGTTCTCAAAGCATTTTCCTAAAATAAGCCTAAGTTCAAAACACTCCTGTGAAAAGGTAGGCGTATTATCTTTATGTTTATCTATGTAGAGAAACTGAGAAAAAAAGTTTAGGTGACTTCTCTAGGTTCTCACAGTAGGTCAACAACATTTCATATTCGAATGACACTTATTTGATCTGCAATTTACAACCTTGCCAGTACTGTTTTCTTCTGTAAATTACTGCTCACAAAGAGCAGTGCCTCAGTATTTGCTTTGAGAATGCTTCCCTTCTTCACTGTTGAAACAATGGATCCGAAATCGTGGCTGGGCAAAAGGCTCCGAGGGAGGGGGTGAGTTGGGTTGCTTTCCACCCACAGTGCCCTAGCCCGGCTCCTGCAATGTCCCTGCGCTGTCGGACAGGAGCAGACACTTGTCCCCCTCTCTGAACGCTCAGTCCCCAGCAGGCAAGGGGATGCATTTCACCCTCTCCACTTGCATCAGCGGAGCGGCAGTCAGGTCACCTCAGGTAAGCCTTTCTCCGAGGGAGGGGGTGAGTTGGGTTGCTTTCCACCCACAGTGCCCTAGCCCGGCTCCTGCAATGTCCCTGCGCTGTCGGACAGGAGCAGACACTTGTCCCCCTCTCTGAACGCTCAGTCCCCAGCAGGCAAGGGGATGCATTTCACCCTCTCCACTTGCATCAGCGGAGCGGCAGTCAGGTCACCTCAGGTAAGCCTTTGGAGCTCACTTCAAGCAAAAGGGCTAGCAAGGATGATTTTCATTCAGTATCAGAATGAATTTGAGAATGGTTTTTCCCTAAAAAACTGTTGGGGCTTCTGAAGAAGTAATGGAGAGGCCTTTGAGCATCTCTCGTCTGCATGCACCTTCCAGCAAGACAGGACCAGTAGGGTAGAAGGCAGCTGGCTGAGGCACCAGCACATCAATACCTGCGGGTTGCAGTTTGCTGAAACCAAAACAAAGAGCTGAAAGCTTGCTTGTCTTCGTCTGCACCCCACAAGACATTGGATTCATTTTCTGTGGTCTCTTCAGTGACTGTCTCTGAAAGAAAGATGCAAATAGCTAATCAGATCGTATTTGTCGTGGTACAAATACTTCAGCTGAAGGCATGCAGAGGCCTCCCTGCCCTCCTTGACGGAGGCAATGGCAACCCCTCCCAACAAGTGCCCCAGTACGGCCCCGCTGGCCCTCAGCACTCAGGAGGACGCAAGTGAAAATGCTGCTGTGAGATCCACCGTGGAACCGTTCCACCAAACAGCTCCGTCAACGACATACTCTGGTGGTAAAAAAACCAAAGAGCGCGGAAATTTATTCCCTGGGTATCCTCACTGCTGTCAGGTAGACCAAAATGTCAACAATATTTCTGAAAAATAACTAGGTATTTCCTTTCACGGGCATCATTCAAATTAACAGGTCAGTGCAGACAGCCAAGATTAATCTGTCCATTAACATCTCAGAACAAAACTGTTGCTCAGAATTTTGTAGGAGTTGCACTGGAGGCAAAAACCTCTGATGATTTTACTCTATTCCTGTGACATAAAGTACATTTCAGAAATACAACATCTGCAGAAGTTCTGTTCTGCCCAAATACAGTTTATTAACTTTGAAGCATATAAGATCTCAGGAAAGAGCTGGAAACAATGTATTAATTATATAGAGAATAGGAATAATGCTTTCAGTCCCAAAGTCTTGGGGCTATGACTGGCTTTCTGCTAAATGAATCTTTATCTCTCACCATTCTTCTCACCCTCTCGTTATTTCTTTGCAGAGCTACAAGCAACCGTCAGCTTTTATAGTTACGCAGCATCCCTTACCAAACACTGTCAAAGATTTCTGGAGACTGGTCCTAGATTATCACTGCACTTCAATAGTGATGCTGAACGACGTGGATCCTGCACAAGTAAGTCCAGAAAACTGCTCCATTCAAGAGGCGTGCTAGTGCCTCAGCATTTCAGAACAGCTTTAGGACATAATTAGTTTTATAAAACGTTAAATACTAAAAAACTGATTTGTAGCTTGCAGATAGACATAGGGAA